ATCAATGTTAAAATTACAACATTATTTAGTAACCAATTTTTTTTATTTGAAAACACTAAGCACATGCTTCTTTTGTGTGAAGTGCCCTGATGTGTTTGGGAGAGAGGTATAGAGTGTAGTTTTTGTTTGGTTGAAGTGGATTATAAGATTTCTTGAATTGATAAATTCAGAATTGATGCTTATTGAGATAAATACATGATTTACAAGAAATATCTGAAATGACCTACTACTAAAAAAAAAAACAACTGAAGTTATTGGTTTGGTTTAAGGATTCATTAAAAATGTAAATGCTTTTCATATAATAAATTAGTAAGTTACATCTTTGAGCAAAAGAGCTAATTATTATACTATTTTAGCTGTTCGAATGGAACTGCTTGGCTTAACACAGGGGTCCTCAAACTTTTTAATCAGGGGGCAGGTTCACTGTCCCACAAAAACTGTTGGGGGCGGAGCTATATATAGTTTGAGAAAATATAATCGAATCCCTATGCACACTCCACTTTTATTTGTAGTGCAAAAAAAATTAAAAAATACAATATCATATTTAAAATGAAGAACAAGTTATTAGCATTTCAATTGGGAAGTATGGGTCTGTATTTTGTTAATGAAATGGTCAGTGTCCGGTATATTTGCCACAGCTCACTGGTTAACCAAACTACGGCCAGGCAGGCTGGGTTAAGTATCTCTGGTGGGCCATAGTTTGCGTTGCCCTGGCCTAACACATTTAGCATCAAGCTCCATCTGCTTGGCTGGGCCATACAACATTTTATTAACATAGGAATTACCTGCCACCCTGGCCTTCCCAAATTCAAATTTATTAACCTGGCCTTTATTAAAAGTAATGACCTTAGGATGTATGTAGCCCTCAAAGTTAAGTATGAAAGGTTTAAAATTAACAAGGCCATAAACTTTCATAAATGCAATTAGGATCACAGTGCATATTAGCAACTGTCGAGTTTATAAAATATTTTACAGTAAGGCATGTTTCATAGAAATGTTATTTCATCAAGATATACTAAACATTGCTAATCTAGTCTCTCTGTGCAACTGAATGCAGTCTGAGTAATTTTTAATTGTACCAAATATTATCTCACAGACCCTAGCTATCTAATATTTTTTATATGAAAGCAATTGTTAGCATTGCACAGAAATAGAAACTTTTTGATTGTCTTATATTTTCCTCAAACAATTTAAAACTGATATTGTCCTCAAACTTTAACAAGAATCCCTCCAACCATCTTTTTCAAACAAGCACCATGACCTGAAATGATTACTAAGGTTACAGGTAGCTGTATATGCATTTATGGGCTGGGACAAATGGCAAGATAAGCCATGATATGAACTTTATAGCTGCATAAATTACAACTGGAATGCCCACAGTCGACTAAAAATTATTTCAACAAATGATTCATGTTGCTGAGAAAGACTAAGTGAACAACACACTTTAAGGGTTCTCAAAGTGGAACTTTCTGAATGATAAAAGAAAAAAATATTTCCTTGAATTCCTTAACAATTATTTGCATTAATTTTAAGTCAAAGAAAATGTAGTAGAGAGAAAAGAAAGCCTCTGGAGCTATTATTTATACAGATAAAGAGTTCATACAAAACTAATTGTTTCCTTAGTAAAGCCGTTTTTTGTTGTAGTCTGTTGATTGAATTAAAATGTCATGGCGATTTATGAAAACATGAAAATCAAGATACTGCAGTACATTTATTTTAAACGGCAGGGTATCATTGTTGGAAGTTAAAATGGAGGAAAAATTGTGAGACAATTAAGGTGGATCAAGCTGAAATTTAAAAAATCCGTTTTGATAGAGATAAGATTTATTTGAATGAGTTGATATTTATGAAACTACAATGAAGATAATTTAAGTGCAAAAGCTATAACTAAAATGAGGCTCATTATGTAAGTCTATCTATCTATTTATTGCTACTATGCATGAGTTTAATTTAGCCTACAAATATTAAATGGTAGGCCCACAAATAGTTTATTCTTAACTGACCTGAGGGACGCATTCAATTATCTTTAAGAAGAGGAACTATGGCAAAAAGAAGGGGAACCCCTACTTTGAAGTACTCCCTATCTTTTTTCAGTTCCTAGGCCCAAATATTGATTTCCATTTATCCAACTAACACACCAACCATTACAAATATTTAAAAACAAAAAAAGAAAAAAGTATAACTTCCTAGAGGGTAATGAAATTAAACTTGTACTGGGTTAGGCTAACTAAAAACTATAACCTGATACACTAACTAAACATTCTTAACACATAAAGGCGGGGTTAACAAAGAGAGCTACTGCATAATATAAAGTATGTATATTTTCTACAGATATTAATTAATTTTATTATTCCTGTTAAATGAAATTTTAGGATGTTAAATGTTTACAAGTTTGAGAAAATAAGCAATAACATAATTTTATTAATGGAATGAGAATTCTAAGGGATGTGCACGATTTTAAAAATTAAATGAATTCCTTTTTATATTTAAAAAGGTACTTATTACAACTTTTAAACCATTGCATGTCGGATCAGATTATTAATTTTTTTTAGCTGTGTGTTGACTCGAAAGTACCTTGACAGTGCATAAAAATAGCTAAAATTTTTAAAAAAGTCTTTCTTATTTTTAGTTAGCTTTTACATTATTTTTTAAAATTTCACAATACAATTTTATCCTTAGCATTTGGGGGGCCTTGACCCTGACTAATATAACATTAAAACAAATTAGGTACCCAAAATCACTTGGCAGTGGTTATCTTTTAAAGGATGGCAACCTTTAAAATATGTGCTTTATGTTATATATTTGAATTATTTCTTTTTGATGCTATTCTTACCAAAACAAACTTTTTAAGATTAGTTTGAAAGATAATGGTAAATTTCTGTCACCAAATAATATGTTTTAGTTATTAAAAAAAAATACTTCCCTTGTAAGGAAAAATATTTTATTGTTTCAATTTTTTTTTTTAAAGTACTCTACAATAAAATTCAAATATCTTATAGGAAGGTTAAGAAACAACCAAAAGCACAGTGGATTTAAAAACTTTGAGAACCACTGGCTTAGAAAAGGCATATTATCATGAATCTCTTAAGTAATAGAATTTTGTGTACCATGACAAGGTATCATTATTAAGTCAGTTAGTCCAGTTTAGGGAGACTTCTAATTTTCAGTTCTGTTTATTAGACTGAAAATTTGGGCAGCGATTAAAAAAATGTCAGGGAAAGTCAAACAGGGTGTGTGTGTTTGTGTGATGTAAAACAATACAAATTATCTATCCAACACACAGTAGGTACAAATGTAGATACATTTTTAAAAAAAAATAATAATTGGGGGAAGGGGGGTGGAGAAGAAAGGAGTATTAAGTGGTTGTATCGGAATACACAGTTGCACCAAAATTCTTGTTTTAGTTTCAAATAACTGTGTTATACTTCTAACCTTTTATGCACTGGCTTCTCTTGTGAGAAATTAATCTCTTGTTTTAAGTTATTGCCTCATTGCAAACTGCCTAACAAAGGACGATACCATAGAGTCAACAATATTTAAGATACGACACCCAAAACAGTTGCTAGCCACAATTAATACAATTTATTAAGTATTAATATAATTACAAAAATCATCCCCTTACAGTATGGTAGATCTTGTACCAGTACACAGTTAACACAGTTAGTATAATGTGCCAATGAATAATGATGAAATGCGAAATAAACACATATGAGCACACAAATACACCAAGAATAATATGCGCCTCGTAAAGTTAATAATATCTATCTGAATCTCCATATCTGTCAATCCCTTATATAGGTGGGTCTACCGACGCGTAAGCCCTGCCTTCCAGAAACTACTCAGCATTTGTTTACATTTCTAGAACAATTACAAACATTCTACAAAATACTAGGAGACAGTCTAACAAGGTTTAATTGGAAAGAACAAGATACATCAAATGAATAGGCCATGCCCACAACAAACGCTAACGTCTGATAGGGATCTAATTTGGGTCAAGCAAAATTCAAGCTCGGGGAAATCGTGTAAAACGTTACACATAACATAACACAATAAAGTTAGTGCAGCTTTGCACAACATTTCAACAAATACTTGTTTATTTCAATTTTCAAAATTAAAATAATTTTATTTAAGTGAGCGGTATGTCGATGAACCACACATAAAGGGCCATCCAAGAATGAAGTCTCACTGTTTTGGACGATTTTTTTAAAACCCCATTTTTTCCTATCATAACAAATTTGTAACACAAATGATACACTTTTATCACAGATGGTCCCTAAGATGCAATAATCAATATCAATGGCACTATACTATAAATCTTAATGACTCCCATTACTGGCTAAAGTAGTAAAAAGGGCACCTCACATTATAGGCTAAAGTAGTAAAAAGGACACCTCACATTATAGGATAAAGTAGTAAGTAGGATGCCTCACATTACAGGCCAAAGTAGCAAGTGAGATGCCTCACATTAAAGGCTCAAGTAGTAAGTAAGATGTCTCCCATTACAGGCTAAAGTAGAAAGTAAGGTAACAGCTTAGCTACTCAATGCTTTTCATCATGCATGAAAGTTAACTGCAATTATTTTTTTCATGATCACCCTCTTTAAAGTGGCCAATATGCTATTGACATTCCACACTGGTTCAACTTTTTGGTTTTGATGGTGTAACATAATAACATAGATAACGGCTACCTGGCAGAAAAGATGTGTTGTTGAGCTGTTTATTTTAAGATTAGAGACCGTTCGAGCTCTATTATCTGATAAAACATATACTTCAACACAGAANATAGATACCTAATTTTGGGGGGGTTTAGAACACACTTTTTAATGAATTATTTAATTTAAATCAACTGAAAAACTACTACTAAATGTATTTAGTTTGATGAAAATTATTTTTATTTAAAACATTATTTAAAAAAAATAATTTAAATACTATTTTCACAAATTTGTGCCATTAAGTTTAAGAGCCTCAGGCTACATAATATATATGGTAAATAAAAATGTACTAAAATAACTGCAAGAACCATACCTTAAATAGAAAAAATTGGGAATCTGTATTGGTGATTGCATCTCTTTGGATTGCTGAATGAAGTTGATATGCTGGTATTCCCCAATGGTTTTTTTGACACAACTCTTCCAAAACCTTAAAAATTAATGAAATTAAGTAATAGCAAAAGTGTTTTTCAAAAAAGTCTAACTCTGCAAATTTTACAAATAAAATGCAATGGTTTGCCATGTTCCCTCTAATTTCTGAGGCAGCTGTGTATACTAGTGTGTGTACACACAGGTTAAGAGTGAACTTTGTTGTCTTATTCATAATATAAATGCCAGGATTTCTCATTAATAAAAATAGATCGTCATTCTGACCCAGGGCTTACAATAGATGTTGTGTACAGGGTTAGCAGAGGAAAAGCTTCTAAATATATAAAGCTGCTAGATACAGGCCAAGAAATAAAGTTTGCAAGAATTTAATTTGAAAGCCCTTTACAAAAATTTTGATGTAAATGTAGGCATTTAAAAATCCCAATATGCATTGAAGACAAAGAAATATTACGCTGAACTAATCTCTTTCAAGAAACAAGGACCACATTCTCATATTATTTCTTTAAGGGCTTTTTCCCTGGATGGAGGGCAGTCACTCATAATACATAGCTAATGTTTAAAACATTTTATGTAATATAAAAAAAAATATTTCTAGTTGAAGTAAAAATTCATGGCTTTCTACAAAAGTTTTGAGCAAAAAAGGCTAGAAATTCTCCCAGAATAGTAACTGAAAGCAAAACAGGTTTTTAAAATCCCAAAATAAGAGGACAAATTCTCAAGGTGAAGCAAAGATTTTGGAACTGTTGAAAAAAATTGCCAGATAAGAGACCATGCACATATTACATCATGTGAAGGGGTTAGGGGGGTGTTGTTTGTCATTTTTTAATATTGTGTTGTGGGGTGGGGGCCTGGTGGAGACCAATCTAACATAACAATTGTTGTAATATTTAACTCTTATTTTAATTTTTTTTAATTTATTTTTTTCTTTCAAAATTTATGAAAACAGCCTAGATTAATAAAAACTTTAAAAATTTTTTTTGCTTACAATAATTAGCACATTTTGGTACAAAATTATTTCTGTCTTTTTTTTGCTTGAAATTTGATTGTTTCTGGACTTTATTTGGTTTATTGGAAATGTTATAAAGGGATGGTAAAAAATATGTGCAGTGCCCCAAATATCTTGCTGGATTTTAGCCACGTACAAAGTATATTACATGAAATAATAGAAAAATGATATCTCATTAACACAATATTAAAAAATCAAGGAAGACTTAATGCCTATTAAAAGAGCAGCAAACACAATAAATGTAACGATATAAAAAAAATTAAATGTAACAACACATATATATAAAAGATAAAAATATTATTTGAATGTTCATTGAGAAAAAATAAGCTACGTTTTCATAGGAGCATGTTGACTATATGAAACAGGAAAATGAACTATAAGGGATTCCAATAGCAAGCAGGAAAGTGCTATATGTTTAGCAAGAGTCAGGTAAACCCCTACCTGGACAGGTGATCGCACACTCAAAGGTTTGAGTGTTGTTGGGTTAGTTGGGGTTAACTCCACACCTGGTAGCAGGTCAAATAGGCGACCCTATGGTTTAATGTGATTTGGCATTGTTGTAATTGAAAAGCTTTACAAAATAACATGAAACTTTTCACCCCACCGTTACATCAACAACAACAAAAAACTTTTTTAAATAAGTTTTAATATTTGCAACAAAAAAAAAATAATTTTGACTATTAAAAAATAATTTTACCATAATTTATTTGTGAAAATTAGTGTTAGTAAAAACAAATATTTGTATAAATTCAATTACGTTAAAAAATGACAAAAAATTTTTTACCAGCTTTATATATACGCCATCCTATTAGTCTCTTGGAAAAAGGATTTTAAAAAGTCTCAAAATAAAAAACATAAAAATTAAATTTAAAAACACTCCTGACAAGTATGTTCACATGTGTTACCCTAACTCCAGTGAACCTAAAGCAAAGAAAAAAAAAACAAAACAAAAAAAAACCAGAAAGAAAACACAAGAAGAGAACAAATTTTTAAAAAATGACTACTCACCTCTACAGGGTTTCGTCTATAGCCACCCCTCATCAGTGTAGGAACATAGCCCTTGTTCCCTCCAGCCCCCCTTGATCCAGCTGCCCCTCGCCCTCTCCCACCACGAATAGGTGGAACATTTGGCCTGGCTACACCCCTGAAAGTTTTACAGAAAATGTAGGCTACTTCATAAAGGTTAAAATGCACACATCTGCCATCCCCAAAGCTTCATATTATCTCCGCTGATAATAAGCTTATCATAACCAACAAGGACATCTTTAAGACTGTTATTTCTAAAATTTAAAGCTGTTGAAGTCTTACATAACTTTTCCATGAAGTCTAATGCAGTTACCAAACTTGGGGACATGTTAAAAAGGGAATAGGCCGTAAAACATTTTTGTGTCTTTAAAAAAATACCATGCTTATAAAATAAGGAGACAACATGATTTTATATATAATAAAGTAGTTCTTATTAACGAAGTTTGGCAGCCACTGCTCTAAGCAAAATAATCCTGGATATTATTGTAGCAAGAAATTCAATAAAAATAAATCATATAATTTTTTTTTTAAAGTTAATATAATAAAATAAAATTTATAAAAGGACATACCTTCCTCCTTGCTGTAGTGTTAATTGGCTGTAGAGTGGCGCAAGTAAGGAGCTCTCAACATCAAGTATCTGAAACAGTGTAAACAACTGAAATCTTTGACAGTGCCACGAGCTCCACAATTTGTAACACAACTTTAAAAAAATGCAATTTATGGTTGATGGTTTTTTAAACATATATTTCTATAAAATAAAATTGCAAAATGATTAAAACAAAACAATGTATTAGTTTTTTTTTCTTTTAAAGTAAACTATTCAAAAGTGTTTTACAATGAAAAACATAAGGGAAAGGTAAGTTGAGATGAATCTTTCACAATACCTGTTGCAGCCCTTTAGCTTTGGCAACTTTAGAGAAATCATTCTTGTCCACCGGCTTGGCCAAAACAACTTCTACCCGTGAGCCATCAATGACAGAATCATCTTAAAATATTGACAGAATCATCTTTAAATATTAGTTGGGGAATATTTGTGTGTTAAAACAAGAAAAAGGTACATTTTATACTCTTAAAACTTAGTTGCATTTTTCTTACTGTTCAAAATTTGAAGTTGTCTCACATAAAATTACACTTTAAATAACAGTTAAAATTTTAGTTTAAATTTGAACTAACATGAATTGAATTTGATGGAGGGATGGGGGCCAGGAGTCGGTGGGCTGAGGAGATTTAATTTGTAAGGGATATCTCAGTTAATTGCATTCAATTGTAATAATTTTTCAAACAGTCTCTCCCTATATGAAAAGAGACACCATATAAAGCTCCCAACCCAGACATAATATTCGTAACCCCATCTCATGGAGGGGAAAGCAAAAAAGGAAAGGGGGGGTGCACGGCTGAGCACCATGAATGAAAGTTCAACCACCACCCATATTCCGTTAAGGCAAAGCTGATGGTTCTTTATGGCACCAAATAAAAACACAGCCCATGCACAGTTGGGCACTAAATTTTTACTCTACATGAGACAAATGCTACATTAAAGTAATTAATCTGCACACCTTGAAACATTTATTTTTGCCTGTTAAACTATTGTTCACCTTGTAAAATAGAACTTCCAAATTAAAATTTTATTATCTATGGAAATAATAGAGTAATTTGAAACCTTTCATAATTTCAATAGCTTTCAGTGCGTCGTCTCTCTGTCGAAAGTGGACAAAGGCATAATCCCTGAGCTTCTTGACCCTCTCAATGCAATCTTTTTTCCCAATCGCCTCCTCAAAGACTTCTTGGATATGCTCCTCGGTTGTTGACAGCATCAAGTTGCGGACATAGAGGATTCGAACCTGAGGAAACCAAATTTTGAAAACTACCCAACAATAAAAATGTCTACAAATGGATGTGTATATTAAACCATCAACAAATTCAAACCCAACCTCTGAAGTTAAAAAAAATGTTTAAATAATTTTTAGTCCAAGCATCTGCCAAATTTATTATTAGTTATGAATTTATCTTTCATTTTAAATATGAAGAAGAAATATGTTAAAAAAATTCAAATAATAAAAATATGATGTAATTTACTAATAAAATTTCTATCTGGATAATAATTGCTACCCAATAGAATTGTGTTTCCTGTCAGAGTTTGTTCTGAAACCTCCATCAGATATAGTGAGCCCTATTTTACAAAAATACTTTATGTATAAAAGAAGAAAGTATCCACAGAAATTATAATCATTGTGTTTCCAATAAGTATTTTCTTTGACGGTACTTCCCACATCAACATTAGCTAAACTCACACAACTAAGGTAGGCCTGCCCTACCACAATCAACGTAATTTTTTAGCAATCCCCAAGAAATAAGCCAAGGGATATTAGAAGATTTAAAAAAATTTTTTTTTTGAATGAGTTCAGCTTGCTTGAAACATCTCACTAAAGTTTTGACGCATTCTCATTAACTCATTAATGGTATAGGAGCGCTTCCGGAAATTATTTTTGACAAAACTCATATATATATATAGTCTATATATATTATATATATATAGTCTATATATATTATATATATATAGTCTATATATATTTTATATATATAGTCTATATATATTTTATATATATAGTCTATATATATTTTATATATATAGTCTATATATATAGTCTATATATATTTTATATATATAGTCTATATATATTATATATATATATATAGTCTATATATATTATATATATTATATATATATATATATTTTATATATATTATATATATTATATATATATTATATATATTATATATATATTTTATATATATTATATATATATATATAGTCTATATATATTATATATATTATATATATATATATAGTCTATATATATCATATATAGTCTATATATATCATATATATTATATATGTATATTATATATATTATATATACATATATATATCATATATATTATATATATCATATATATTTCATATATATTATATATATCATATATATTATATATGTATGTTATATATTTTATATATATATAGTGTGAGAGAGATATATAGATAGATATAGATATATATAGATAGATATAGATAGATATATATATATATATATATTTAGTGTATGTGAAAAGGGGGAGGCTTGGAGGTTAACGTTTTTAGGGGTGGGGGCTGTATTTCAAAAGAAAATTTTAGGTGCAACATTTAGAGTTTTTTGTGTGTTTTTTTTAAATGTTTATTTGACTTGGTTTCTTTGTCATTGTCTTGTTGGATCTCCTTGTTGAGACACGTCGTAAGACATGCAGAGCCCTTAGTAGGTCAAATACTTCATTTACATGCATATTTATGTAATACATTTGTCTGTGACAAAAAATTGAAACAATGTAGCCTTTAACTTTAAAAATAGTGTTTGTGTTACTAGGAAGATACTGTGGTTTCGGGACTGAGGAGAAAACTGTGCTAGATGGGAGACAACTGTGCTATATGGGAGACTAAAACTGCATGCTTAGGTGGCTAACAGAAGCTTCCGCATCCTTGACGATATAATGTTCCTGTTTATATATAGAGATGAACTTCCTGGCAGTATGACATGTCATATTCAACGGTCGAGGATGGACCTAACCTCTTTAATTTTCGTCAGAACCCCCCCCCCCCCACTAATAAATAGACTTATAAGGCGCAACGCTCGTAAACTGTTATTGACCAAACAAAATTATGCAAATGATCCGTCATGTATTTCTGGGCCACCCTTGGAAAGGCACAAAAAAAATTATCCACACCTGTACGGCACATATAACCCCCTTAAATAAGTCTCAACGTACGGCCTTGTTATTCAAAAGGCCGTAGCCGCAACTAAATCCCATTCGTATGGCCTTGATTCTGCTATCAGGAAATTCCCAAGGAGAGAAGAGAAGAGGAAAAAAAAAAGTGGGGGGAAGGGCGGTGACGACGACAACGACGGAAAAATTTTTTTTATAAAGAAATCATGCATTTTAGTTCACAACTTTAAAGGAAATGTACAAAAATCTCCATTACCTCCACCCCCCAAATCTAATTAGTATTCGTAAATCGAATGTAAACAGATTAACGCTATTTTACTAACTCCAATTTGATTTCAATGGGAAGTAGTTTCATATTTTTATATATATCGTGTGGCAAGATGATCTTTTATGATAATTCGAATTACACAGCAGCTTGTTATTTTTTTTTTACATTTGCAATGATTTGTGAAGCACTTGACAGTGCAATATCAACGAGTGATCACGTTTCTTTGCCTTTAGAACTAGCCTAGCAGCTGAGTTTTGAACTGTCTGCAGTTTTTCTATGAAATGATTAATTGATTTGTTGAACCTGACAGAAGAGACTTACAATAGTCAAGACGAGAGAGAACAAGAGCACAGACTCTAGTGTTTTTTGTTGCGCTAACAGTGAGGTAGTGGCGGATAGCTGTGTAAGCAGAGCGACAGATGTAAGAAATATGATTATGATACATGACGGTCAGAGACATGCGGTCAGAAAGAATGTAACCAACGCCAGACTTTGGTATACTTTCGCCCCGTGTGAAGCACCCGTTCGGCGCGCCCCCTTCCCTCATTTCCAAGCCTTTTCGATTGGTCCCAACCCCTGTGTTCGTATCCACACTAAGTATGCAACTTTCATTGTAAGAAAAGCGATTGTGCGAAAAGTTAGAGTACCGTTTCTCGACCCCGGACTCGAGGTTAGTACTACACTATAATAACTAAGGGAATTTAAATATTTACTGGGCGCCCCAATGGCCACGGCGCCCTGTGCGAGGTCACAGGTCGCACACCCTAAAGGACAGCCACGCAAGATTAAGAAATAGTCTGCAAGTAATTTTCCATTCAAACCCTTCGTCTGTTTCATTACTTGATCCACTAATTGAGTGGATATCGCAGGATCCACAGGCACAGGAATTCAATTTGTCACCTGTTTGATGAAGTTGAAAGGAACTTTGTTTTCACTTGTCCGCCCCCCCCCCCTCCTCCCCGACCGCCAAAAGACAAAGGGATCTGCCCGTCCTACAACCATCTATGATTTAGATCAGCTGTGCCTCCTAGTGCCGCGACCCAACCGTTCTTCGTGTTGTGGCGACCCTCAACAACAAAATTATTTCCTTGGCTACTTCATAGCCCAAAGCGGTCGCGACCCACAGGTTGAGAGCCCCTGATTTTGGACATGCGCATCCCCTTCCTTTGATGCATGGGGTGTTCATCAAAGTGTCCCCCCCCCCGTACCCTCCGGCCCCCGTACCCTCCGGGTAGAAAGGTAATGGTAGGGGGTTGTGGGAAGGCCCAGCAAATCTTATGTGCATCTCAGTGGCGGTGCTGGTGGGAACAATGGGGGGAAACATTTGGCATTCCAGATAGGTGGTTGGGGGGGGGGTTTGCGGGAAATATTTTGGTGGGTTACCAGAAATTTGATGGAAAGAAATTTCGTCGACGGTTAATTGATCGACGGAAATTTTATCGAACGGAAATTTGGTCGAATCTTTTTTTGCTTACGTGACACGTTAAAATGTTCGCTAAATTTCTTTTTCAACGCACTATAATATATATTAAAACAAAATTTTAACGTGTCAACTGGGGAAAAAAAGATTCGACCAAATTTCCGTTCGACCAAATTACCGTCGACGAAGTTTCTTTCGATCAAATTTCCGGATACGGTTTTGGTGTAGCAAAAGGCTTTAGAGCCACTACTTTGATTGAAGAGTGTTGTGTCAAAACTAGGCTTTAGAGCCACTACTTTGATTGAAGAGTGTTGTGTCAAAACTGCAGAGACAAAAGCTTCTAAAAGTCTGGGTTTACAGTGACAAAGCCTAATCAAAATAGCGACACAAATGTCACCGGTCTTTTAAGTGGTGTGTAACCGGCATAACCGGCTGTTGCCTGGTAGATTTTCATTCATAAACTGTAATTATACAGACACGGGGATTTAAAAATTAACATCAATTAATTAATTATTAATATTTATTTTTATGTTGTTTTTTTTTTAAATTTGGGGGGGGGGTGGCTTTAGGTCTAGGGCACCCTGTGAGCTTACTACGTCACTGAGGCTGTGGTGTATTTAGAGATCAGACATGGGAATCTAACCACCTATTTCTAAGTTCGGTGTATTTAGATTAGTTCTAGCTTTCCGAAACTTATTTGGCCTACCGCCACCTTTTCAGAAGAAAAAAAAATTACTCAGGGCCCCCTCAAATATTCATTCTTTAAGCCAGTGGTCGGAAAACCGTGGCTGGTGAGCCGCATGCGGCTCTATACCGACCCGAGTGCGGCTCTGCCAGTCGGCCACAAATCGGTTTTGACTCCGAAAAACATGGTTCTTGATAGGTTCTTGGGAAAAAAAATTGACTCATTTAAAACAAAAAAAATCGTCCTGATTTTTTGGCTCTTTTGACTAATCAGTTTGCCGACCACTGCTTTCAGCGAACAAACAGAAATATGTACCGGTATTTATCTATAGATCTTTCTAAACAAGTCCTAAAATATAGTTCAGAAAAAAGTTATAAATAAGACAATTTGAAGCTTGAAATTACAAAATTATTTATTACAAACACAGAAAATTAATTAATTAATATAATGAAGAATAATATATAATTAAAATTTACGAATAGCATTAAAAATAATCCTAATGAGAAGGATGAATCCCTTCTTTTTTTTATCCCCCCCCCCCCCATGCACCCGAGGCTTCTATCGACTCAAGGGGTGGTATCGCCCACTTTGGAAGTCACTGCGCTAGAACAACAAGGCAGCGTGTGCTTCCAATCCTCTTTCGTCACTTGAGATCGATGACAGCGCGTCGCCGTTTGTTGTTGATCTTGTCGGATCATCATCATCATACTACTGTGGCGTAATGCCCCCCCCTCCCCTCTTCCAAGCATATCTCCCATTTTCTGATCTAGGTGTTGTCAACTATAAACCACTGGTTTGTTTGATAAATAATTAGGCCTATCAAATTGTGTTTGTTTTTTAACAATTAGGCCTACAAGTTGCGGACAGTGGATGAAAAGAGAGTCGGCCACATGGTATTTTTATTTAATATTTGTCACGCACTAACACAAATCAAACGGGGGGGAGAGGGTCTGTAAAGGGGGTATATATATTTATATATACACACATAATTTTGGGTTTACAAAAATTTCATTTTACAAAAATTATTGGGTTTTATTCAAATATAAACATTTCTGACACCAGTTAGCGATGTTGCCACATTCGTAAAACATTTTCGGTTTTAATAAAGAGAGTTTATCCTTTCCAAGGGTTTTGCCGATACCGGGTCAACGGGAATATATTTTCTTCATCCCGGGATTTTCAAGGAAATCCCGGCATAAAATTAATTTAATAAAATATATATTATAAGCTACAATGAACTATTAAATGGTTGATTTTTTAAGTTTTAACTGGTATTGTCCTTTAATGAATAGTAGTTGAGATGTAAGTCATTTGCCACTAGTTGCTCTATTTTCCGCTGATAATTTTTAAGAACCCCCTCCCACCACCAATCTCCCCCCCCCCTTATCACACGTGGCATTAAAATTCGTCGAGCTTTACCACTGAAAAGGGTCTGTTCATTTCGAAGGAGCCGGGTGCAGTTTTTAGTCCCGGTACCGGGTCAGCACTTGTATAATCATCTTCAATACCCTAAGAGCTTGACTTAAAAATACCACTAATATCGTTTTATACGCGAAATCAAAGTACGTCGATATAATCACAGAAAACTGAGGAATCACGGGACACCTATACATACTATGATACAGCTATGTATTCACGAACTCAAAGTACGAATTAAGTTCCAGAAACTACTAAGATATTGAGATAAAATTAATTACTGAAGAGCACCATCTTCAAATCAATTGCAAGTTATTTCGGTACAACTTCGATTATCCGAACTAGCTGGGACCCGGTGGTTTGGATAACCGAATACTCCCAAGGACGGATAGGTAAGCGCGTTTAAAAGAAGTCACTGCACGGAATGCAATATTACAATTACATTCATTTAATAAATTTATGCTTCACTGCACAGAATGCAATATTACATTACTTTATAAATGTATGCTTCACTGCACAGAATGCAATATTAAAATTACTTTATAAATGTATGCTTCACTGCACAGAATGCAATATTACAATTACTTTATAAATTTATGCTTCACTGCACAGAATGCAATATTACATTACTTTATAAATTTATGCTTAACTGCACAGAATACAATATTACAATTACTTTATAAATTTATGCTTCATTGCACAGAATGCAATATTGCAATTACTTTATAAATGTATGCTTCCTTGCTCAGAATGCAATATTACAATTACATCACTTTATAAATGTATGCTTCACTGCACATAATGCAATATTACAATTACATCACTTTATAAATGTATGCTTCACTGCACATAATGCAATATTACAATTACATCACTTTATAAATGTATGCTTCACTGCACAGAATGCAATATTACAATTACATCACTTTATAAATGTATGCTTCACTGCACAGAATGCAATATTACAATTACATTACTTTATAGACGTATGAGTAGACGGCTGCGGCATTTTTTTTTTTAAACGCGAACGATAGGTTGGAATAACTCTGGGATTTAGGTCACTGCAATGGATAATTTAGTACCCAAGACAACAACAAGATTGTCAAAGGGGGAGCACCAAGCTCATCAGAGGTTACGAAACAGATCGAAACATTCCACGTGTATCAACGTTTTAATAGCCGAAAACATGGCGCCAAGAAAAGAACTACATGTGTTAGATGTGTTTGGGGGGGGGGGGGGCGAACTTTTGGGAGATCGACCTGGGCGGCATTCAGACCCACCGATAACCCACCCCCCCCGGCCTCTCTTAATTTCCTCCCCTTTAGTTAGAGTCAACCTTTAGTTAATTAACAATTAGGGAAAAAAAGAGGGCTTAGTAATGAAAAGCTTACGACGAGTTTCCTTCAACCCCCATAATATTACCTATTAGTTACGCCCACAATTCAATAACGTTTGTTATAGTTATAGAGAGAGAGAGATACCCACCGGTACTAAAACATTTACGTCCTTACAAAAGATCGACCCCAGCCCCTAAACCAGAAATAATCGGATCCTCATCAGAGGGGCCCCTCAAAGTCACGTGGCCCCCCCGTGCCTAATTTGGCTTTTAGTTTCAATCAGGGCCTGCTCCTCCTGAAGTCCAAATGGAGGGGACACCATGGGTCAAGCAAAACAACCGCACCTGGTGCCAGTGACCAGTGCACATATTTGAACGATGAGATGCTTCCTAGCTCCACACAGATATTAGAAATTATATTCAGTGGTAGGAAGGAACGTGGAATAATAGCATACGAAGAAACGAGATCATGTCTGGAGAAATTTTTTTTAAACTTTAATGTCCCTTGCCTTGTAAAAATTGTTATTTGTTGAAAAAATTTATATTAAAAAAAAAAGTCATCCGTGATTATTGACAATTTATTATGTAGGCCTAGATTTAAATCAAATGTTTTATGATCCCAAAATAACTGTTTTAATCGTTTTAATATCAATAAAATCTCGCATTTCATAAATAAAATGTGTGATGTCTGACGAGGGTGCCTTATACTATTTATATTTCTTTGATGATTTGTTGTCATTTTTTTCTAGCAGGGTAGTATGACGTCATTTACGGATGACCCCCCCCCACCCACCCAAATCGGTAAGTATTAAGTTTAATCGGTATGCAGATATATAATTTAACTGGCAATTAAGATTTAAAAAAGATATATTTGAAATTCGCTAAAAAAAAAAAAAATTATTTTAACTAAATTTGCATCCATGGCCATTATTGTGCTGCTGATGTGGAGTGGGAGAGAGGTGGGGGTGGGAATTATAATCACGCATTTTCGGTACACCCTGGCGTGTTTGTACTTGGTCCACCCTGGCGTGTTTGTACTTGGTACACCCTGGCGTGTTTGTACTTGGTACACCCTGGCGTGTTTGTACTTGGTACACCCTGGCGTGTTTGTACTTAATTCGGGTAATTAGCAAATGATGGTCTAATGCAGAGAATTGGTGCCGTTCAGGGATACATTTAGGGTTCAGGTTTGCTTAGGGTTACATTAGGGTTCAAGTTTGGTTCAGGGATACATTTAGGGTTCAGGGATACATTTAGGGTTCAGGTTTGCTTAGGGTTACATTAGGGTTCAAGTTTGGTTCATTGATACATTTAGGGTTCAGGGATACATTTAGGGTTCAGGTTTGCTTAGGGTTACATTAGGGTTCAAGTTTGGTTCAGGGATACATTTAGGGTTCAGGGATACATTTAGGGTTCAGGTTTGCTTAGGGTTACATTTAGGGTTCAAGTTTGGTTCAGGGATAAATTTAGCGTTCAGGTTAAGTTTAGTGGCAGTCAGTTATAAAAGTTCACGGATCGTGGAAACCAAAATGGCAGCCGTGTGATGCGTCATGGCATCAATTGCATTTACCAAATGATGTTACGTGTGTAAAGCCAGTTTTTTAAAAATAAGAAAATAAAAGTTGCGCAACTAGTTCTCTGAAGTAAAATATTACATCAACTCAACAAAAAAAAGAAAGAACTTGACTTAGGGCACATAATGAATGAATGAAAATCTAAACAAAGTTTTAACTGTGGGTACCCTGGGTTTGCAATAAATCAATATTATTTTTTTTTTAAAGAAACTTAATATTGTCCGTGACTGAATGACTGTCTTCTCAGAGCGGTGGACAATCATAATGATATAGAATCTAGCCGAGGCGTAGCGAGGGTGTTTTGCGCCCGAGGACAAGATCCATTTTAAAGCGTCCCTTTTTTCTTTTTTTTTTTTCAACTCTCAAGCCCATTATTTTCATCAATAAAATAATATCAAAGCACATTTTGGCGCCCCTAACTAGCTGGCGCACGGGGAAATCTGTCCCCCCCTGCCCCTCTCGCTACACTTCTGGCATAACATGGTTACGCTGGTTTAACTTGCAATTGTGACGGTAAATAATATACTTAATTATTAAAATTAAACCTACCTTGGAACGATTTGTTAGTTTTCCTTCTCCTGTCTGCACAATCACGTCATTTTAAGTCACAACGCAATCCCACAATCCACAACCACACGCTCCTCAACACAATCAGAGAAGTAAGCCAAACAATTCCACAATCAACAACATAACCACACAAGCCAAAACACAATCCCACAATCCGCGAGACGTGCCTCAACATAACCACATTAGCCAAAACACAATCCCACAATCCACGAGACGTGCCTCAACATAACCACACAAGCCAAAACACAATCCCACAATCCGCGAGACGTGCCTCAACATAACCAAACAAGCCAAAATAATCCACAAACTTAAGACGTACTCACCGTTGCCATTATATCCTCGTCCGTCTCGGGCTCAGGCTCTGCCCAATCCACGGCTATCGTGTGGCCCCACAGCTGCACCCTCCCTGGAATCAGCTTGCGCCTGGCCATCGCCGCTGACCGGTGACTCTCGTACTCCACGAAGGCGAATCCCCTGTTCTTCGCCTTGTCCACGGCGCTGGGGTAGACGATGACGTCGACGACGCCGTCTGTGACCTTCGACATCTCCGACAGAATCTCTTCTTTCTGCTTTGTTTTCGGGATTCCGCCGACGAACAACCTGCAGTTGTCCACGCTCGAGCATACGCCGAGGTACCTCCCTTTTCGAATTTCGAAATTGTTGAGCTCTTTCACGGCTTTCTTGGCGTCGGATTTCGAGCAGTACGTGCAGAAGCCGAACCCTCTGTTGGTGCCACTGAAATCCATCATCAGCCGGAACTCCCAGATTTTTCCGATCTTCAGGAACACGGGCACGAGTTCGTCCTCGTACAGGTCTCGGGGTATTTTTCCTATGAAGATTTCGCAGCCACGAGAGGGAGGGGCGCCCTCCCAGCCGGGTGGGGGACCGCCGAATTTCCGCTGACCGTTTTCCTGAACGATCGAATATCCTGTTTGTTTGATTAACGCCAACAGGGCCGCCTCGTTGTGTGCGCCGCTGACTCCTTGAATTATTCTCTGACTCTCCATTGCGAATAAATTAGTTAACCTCTCACTAACGTGCAACAATGGAGCATCCAAATGAAAAAAAAATAATTAAAACACCTTTCTTCCCCCTTGAAAGTTAAGGCCACAACACATTTACTTTCGCACAACTAACTGAGCCACCTGGCTGAAACAAAGGTGCCGAACGAACAACAGGAAACTGGAAACGTGTAGGTGTAGGAATATTTGGTCCAAGAATGATCGCAGCAGATATGACGTCGCTGGTTATATTGATGTCAATCAAACATTTGCGATAACGTTAGCTCCTCCCCCTAACCCCCACGTAAAACGCCCCTCTCGTGCGCGCGCTTTCTTTCACTTTCATTATTCATTCAGAAGCGTGTCAAAATTTAACCGGCGTTTGGTGAAGATCACATGACAGCTGCCGAAATCTGCCTTCTAGTGAGGGGTGGGTGTTTGGGTGTGTGGGGATAAGTGAAAATAATTAATTAGTTAAAATAACAATAAAACAACTGGTTTTGCCGACGAAATAGTAAAAATAATAATAATTATGCAGCTCAGGTGATGATGCAACAGGCAGTCCGTCAAACACAACACTTGAACGCCGGTGGAGAGCGCGCATTCAGACGTGGAAATATATTTACGATTGGGATAACAACGGAAACTGTTATTGATGATAAGGGGCGCTATTGCGATGATGTGGTGGGGTGTTATTTTTGATGATGTGGTGGGGTGTTATTGGAGATGATGTGGTGGGATGCTATTTGTGATGGGTTGGGATGTTATTGGTGATGTGGGATGCTATTGGTGGTGATGTGGTGGGATGCTATTTGTGATGGGTTGGGATGTTATTGGTGATGTGGGATGCTATTGGTGGTGATGTGGTGTGATGCTATATGTGATGGGTTGGGATGTTATTGGTGATGTGGGATGCTTTTGGTGGTGATGTGGTGGGATGCTATATGTGATGGGTTGGGATGTTATTGGTGATGTAGGATGCTTTTGGTGGTGATGTGGTGGGATGCTATATGTGATGGGTTGGGATGTTATTGGTGATGTGGGATGCTATTGGTGGTGATGTGGTAGGATGCTATTTGTGATGATGTGGTGAGATGCTATTTGTGATAATGTGGTGGGATGCTATTGAGATAATGAGGTGGGGTGCTATTGTGATGATGTGGTGGGATGCTATTGTGATGATGTGGTGGGATGCTATTGTGATGATGTGGTGGGGTGCTGTTTGTGATAAGTGGTGAGATGCTATTGTGATAATGTGGTGGGATGCTATTGTGATGATTTGGTGGGATGCTATATGTGATGATATGGTGGGATGCTATTTGTGANATAAATTTGAAATTCGCTAAAAAAAAAAAAAATGTATTTTAACTAATTTTGCTTCCATGGCCATTATTGTGCTGCTGATGTGGAGTGGGAGAGAGGTGGGGGTGGGAGAGAGGTGGGGTGGGAGAGAGGTGGGGTGGGAGAGAGGTGGGGGTGGGAATTATAATCACGCATTTTCGGTACACCCTGGCGTGTTTGTACTTGGTCCACCCTGGCGTGTTTGTACTTGGTCCACCCTGGCGTGTTTGTACTTGGTACACCCTGGCGTGTTTGTACTTGGTACACCCTGGCGTGTTTGTACTTGGTCCACCCTGGCGTGTTTGTACTTGGTCCACCCTGGCGTGTTTGTACTTAATCCGGGTAATTAGCAAATGATGGTCTAACGCAGAGAATTGGTGCCGTTCAAGGATACATTTAGGGTTCAAGTTTGCTTAGGGTTACATTAGGGTTCAAGTTTGGTCCAGGGATACATTTAGGGTTCAGGGATACATTTAGGGTTCAGGGATACATTTAGGGTTCAGGGATACATTTAGGGTTCAGGTTTGCTTAGGGTTACATTTAGGGTTCAAGTTTGGTTCAGGGATAAATTTAGGGTTCAGGTTAAGTTTAGTGGCAGTCAGTTATAAAAGTTCACGGATCGTGGAAACCAAAATAGCAGCCGTGTGATGCGTCATGGCATCAATTGCATTTACCAAATGATGTTACGTGTGTAAAGCCAGTTTTTTTAAAATAAAAAAAAAAAAGTTGCGCAACTAGTTCTCTAAAGTAAAATATTACATCAACTCAACAAAAAAAAAAAAAAGAAAGAACTTGACTTAGGGCACATAATGAATGAATGAAGATCTAAACAAAGTTTTAACTGTGGGTCCCCTGGGTTTGCAATAAATCAATATTATTTTTTAAAAAAGAAACTTAATATTAGCCGTGACTGAATGACTGTCTTCTCAGAGCGGTGGACAATCATAACGATATAGAATCTAGCAGAGGCGTAGCGAGGGTGTTTTGCGCCCGGGGACAAGATCCATTTTTAAAGCGTCCCTTTTTCTTTTTTTTTTTTCAACTCTCAAGCCCATTATTTTCATCAATAAAATAATATCAAAGCACATTTTGGCGCCCCTAACTAGCTGGCGCACGGGGAAATCTGTCCCCCCCTGCCCCCCTCGCTACACTTCTGGCATAACATGGTTACGCTGGTTTAACTTGCAATTGTGACGGTAAATAATATACTTAACAATTATTAAAATTAAACTTAAACCTACCTTGGAACGATTTGTTAGTTTTCCTTCTCCTGTCTGCACAATCACGTCATTTTAAGTCACAACGCAATCCCACAATCCACAACCACACGCTCCTCAACACAATCAGAGAAGTAAGCCAAACAATTCCACAATCAACAACATAACCACACAAGCCAAAACACAATCCCACAATCCGCGAGACGTGCCTCAACATAACCACATTAGCCAAAACACAATCCCACAATCCACGAGACGTGCCTCAACATAACCACACAAGCCAAAACACAATCCCACAATCCGCGAGACGTGCCTCAACATAACCAAACAAGCCAAAATAATCCACAAACTTAAGACGTACTCACCGTTGCCATTATATCCTCGTCCGTCTCGGGCTCAGGCTCTGCCCAATCCACGGCTATCGTGTGGCCCCACAGCTGCACCCTCCCTGGAATCAGCTTGCGCCTGGCCATCGCCGCTGACCGGTGACTCTCGTACTCCACGAAGGCGAATCCCCTGTTCTTCGCCTTGTCCACGGCGCTGGGGTAGACGATGACGTCGACGACGCCGTCTGTGACCTTCGACATCTCCGACAGAATCTCTTCTTTCTGCTTTGTTTTCGGGATTCCGCCGACGAACAACCTGCAGTTGTCCACGCTCGAGCATACGCCGAGGTACCTCCCTTTTCGAATTTCGAAATTGTTGAGCTCTTTCACGGCTTTCTTGGCGTCGGATTTCGAGCAGTACGTGCAGAAGCCGAACCCTCTGTTGGTGCCACTGAAATCCATCATCAGCCGGAACTCCCAGATTTTTCCGATCTTCAGGAACACGGGCACGAGTTCGTCCTCGTACAGGTCTCGGGGTATTTTTCCTATGAAGATTTCGCAGCCACGAGAGGGAGGGGCGCCCTCCCAGCCGGGTGGGGGACCGCCGAATTTCCGCTGACCGTTTTCCTGAACGATCGAATATCCTGTTTGTTTGATTAACGCCAACAGGGCCGCCTCGTTGTGTGCGCCGCTGACTCCTTGAATTATTCTCTGACTCTCCATTGCGAATAAATTAGTTAACCTCTCACTAACGTGCAACAATGGAGCATCCAAATGAAAAAAAAATAATTAAAACACCTTTCTTCCCCCTTGAAAGTTAAGGCCACAACACATTTACTTTCGCACAACTAACTGAGCCACCTGGCTGAAACAAAGGTGCCGAACGAACAACAGGAAACTGGAAACGTGTAGGTGTAGGAATATTTGGTCCAAGAATGATCGCAGCAGATATGACGTCGCTGGTTATATTGATGTCAATCAAACATTTGCGATAACGTTAGCTCCTCCCCCTAACCCCCACGTAAAACGCCCCTCTCGTGCGCGCGCTTTCTTTCACTTTCATTATTCATTCAGAAGCGTGTCAAAATTTAACCGGCGTTTGGTGAAGATCACATGACAGCTGCCGAAATCTGCCTTCTAGTGAGGGGTGGGTGTTTGGGTGTGTGGGGATAAGTGAAAATAATTAATTAGTTAAAATAACAATAAAACAACTGGTTTTGCCGACGAAATAGTAAAAATAATAATAATTATGCAGCTCAGGTGATGATGCAACAGGCAGTCCGTCAAACACAACACTTGAACGCCGGTGGAGAGCGCGCATTCAGACGTGGAAATATATTTACGATTGGGATAACAACGGAAACTGTTATTGATGATAAGGGGCGCTATTGCGATGATGTGGTGGGGTGTTATTTTTGATGATGTGGTGGGGTGTTATTGGAGATGATGTGGTGGGATGCTATTTGTGATGGGTTGGGATGTTATTGGTGATGTGGGATGCTATTGGTGGTGATGTGGTGGGATGCTATTTGTGATGGGTTGGGATGTTATTGGTGATGTGGGATGCTATTGGTGGTGATGTGGTGTGATGCTATATGTGATGGGTTGGGATGTTATTGGTGATGTGGGATGCTTTTGGTGGTGATGTGGTGGGATGCTATATGTGATGGGTTGGGATGTTATTGGTGATGTAGGATGCTTTTGGTGGTGATGTGGTGGGATGCTATATGTGATGGGTTGGGATGTTATTGGTGATGTGGGATGCTATTGGTGGTGATGTGGTAGGATGCTATTTGTGATGATGTGGTGAGATGCTATTTGTGATAATGTGGTGGGATGCTATTGAGATAATGAGGTGGGGTGCTATTGTGATGATGTGGTGGGATGCTATTGTGATGATGTGGTGGGATGCTATTGTGATGATGTGGTGGGGTGCTGTTTGTGATAAGTGGTGAGATGCTATTGTGATAATGTGGTGGGATGCTATTGTGATGATTTGGTGGGATGCTATATGTGATGATATGGTGGGATGCTATTTGTGAT